AAAAAAAACATCGACCATTTTAGGGACATTTAGGGACATTTTAGGACATTTTTAGGACATTTTTGGGAGATTTTCGGAACATTATTTGGACATTTAAAAAATATTTTTAGAACTTTTTTTAAATATTTTTAAGACGATTTTGAACGTTTTTCAAATGATTTTAAGATGTCGTTTTTTGCACGGTTGAAGATGCATTCTGAAATTAATGAACAAAAAATAATGGATAAAAAATGTTAGGACTATTTTGGGACATTTTTGGGACAACTTTAGGACAATTTTGGAACATTCTCAATATTTCTAAAATTTTTTATCCATTAATTTTTTGTTCATTAATTTCAGAATGCATCTTCAACCGTGCAAAAAATTAAAATTATTTGAAAAACGTTTAAAATTGTTCTCAAAACATTAAAAAAATGTCGTAAAAATATTTTGAGAATGTTCCAAAAATGTTCTAAAATTGTCCCAAAAATGTCCTAAAGTTGTCCCAAAAATGTCCCAAAATAGTCCTAACATTTTTTATCCATTATTTTTTGTTCATTAATTTCAGAATGCATCTTCAACCGTGCAAAAAACGACATCTTAAAATCATTTGAAAAACGTTCAAAATCGTCTTAAAAATATTTAAAAAAAGTTCTAAAAATATTTTTTAAATGTCCAAATAATGTTCCGAAAATCTCCCAAAAATGTCCTAAAAATGTCCTAAAATGTCCCTAAAATGGTCGATGTTTTTTTTTATCTATAAATTTCTAGACAAATTTACAGCTGTGCAAAAATAAAATATTTCTCCTTAAATCCTTTAATAAAAGTATAAAATTGTTGTAAAAGTGTCATAAATTTGGGAAAGTATTCTAAAAATCTTTTAAAAAAATACATAAAATTGACGAAAAATTACTTAAATGCACAATTTTAAAATTTCTGTTTATTTTTAAAATGTCCCAAAAATGTCCCAAATTGTGTCACGTTTGGGTGTCCCAAGCTTGGGACAATTTTGGGACAATTTTTTTTTACACGGGATTTGTCACGTTGAATCTTTTTTAATCGTTTTGAGCCATTTTGAATCTTCAAATCTCTTTTTCTAATCAGGGTTACACTTTCGAAGTGTTCTATTAATTGAAATAATGAAAAGTCATTAATAAATTAATATGAAGCTAAAAAATTGCGAATTATCGTTTAAAAAAATCATGCATCTCGTGGGCCTGAGAACTGGACCTCCTCATTATTTAGATTAAAAAAAAAAAAAATTTGGAAAATCCAAAAGTGTACGACACATGATGCTCATTTAATTATGAAATAATAAAATAAAGCGAATGTAAAAAATATCAAACAGCTTAAATAGGATGATAGTGCACACGTGCCTCTATATAGATATAGATATACAGTCCTTCGTCTTTTTTTAAATTTTATTAATTGCAAATAAACGACTCTAAGTTACCGAGCCATTCCCATTCGGTGATTTACAATTATTTCAAAGAATTTTTCAAAAAAAAATTTGACTCAATCAATGGATTTTTTCGCAAGTTACAGTGTTTTCAGGGTTTCATACATGACGGACAGGAAAATTTTTTATTAACTATTAACTTTATATAATTATTTTGATGTTTCTTCCGCTTCTATTGCACTTAATAAATTTTTGAAAAGTATGGGGATTAATTTCCATTAAATTATCTTGACAATAGTATGCAAAATATCTTGATTCCGTGAACTAACGAGGGTAGAATAATAAAAAATAGTTGTCGAAATGAGGCGAAAAAAATTTTTCGATCGTAAAGCACTCTCTTATACTTGAATTGAGAAATAAAAAATAGAGATAGTAAGAGATAAAGACAAATTAGCAAATACTTCAGGTTTTTCTTCTCTATTCCTTAGATCTAACTTAAGTCTACATTTTATACGATCTTTCATCAAGCCGTAACATTAGTTGGTATTATTGCTTTCAATTATTTTCATTTCTTATAAAGGAAAATTGACAACTTAAATAACACTGTACTATTATTATTTAATTTATTATATACGTTAACATATATGTATATTTACATTTAAAAATCGACCCAGACTGTAAAATATAAATCAAATGATCGATAATGACGATAATAGATTTCTTATCCACATAAGTAATGTTGTATATGATAATTATATTATAATACAATTAAATTGAATTTAATTCTCATCTAACGATTTCAGGTATAATAAAAGTAAATATTACACTACCCAGTGCCAACTGCATTTATAAAGTTGCCCTACTAGTCAATAGCACAATTAAAAATAATACCGATTGCCATAAACATGAATTTACAAATATTTTACATTCTGAGTTACATTCAGTCGACCAAACAATTTGTCCATATAATTCTAATACTGAACAAAATCACGACAGTCTGCACCAAAATAATGGATTTCTTAACAAATGCCAGGTAATTTAAAATTTTGAATTTACTTTTTTTTCATTTATTGTCAACATGATATAAGGTAAAAGCCCCAGCAGCTGCTCAGGAACCAGTACCTGTTAACTCCATGTATTTGTATATCTATATTTATACGGATTTATGTAGATAAACAAATACATGAAGTGAGGAGGTACTGGTTCCTGAGCAGCTTCTGAGGCTCTTACCTTACTCTTTTTTTTTCTTTGAAATTTATTTACTTATTTCCTATATCACATTATTTTTTGTAGGATAATAATATTGCTCTTTATTTTGAGCACGTCTATGCAGGTTGTTACGCTTTACGCTTTACAATCGATGATAAACTTTATGCAATACGCTCGAAAAAGTACATTACAACAACTTATCAACGTAGTGAAGTTAAGGAACCATTATCTCATTGTTATTATGACGATGGAATCGGTAATAATAACGATAACGAAAGGTATTGAAAAAAATTAAACTAGAAATAGTAATTATTTACATATATTTAAATTTATTTGCTTAGCATGCTTAGTGTAAGTTTTCTTGACTTTCCTTCTTTAAATTTTTATTTCATTAAAAAAAATTATAGAGTAAAGAAACACTAAAAAATTAAATTCAAAATTGTACTGTTAACCTATGCTTCGTCGTATTTGAGAAAGCGAGAAAAAGATCATTTTTGATAGCTTTCTATTAATTATTAATATCACAAGCTCTGAATCTGTACTGTCAATTATAAAATATATTGAATATGTTAATTATCTGCACAGAAAAAAGAGAAAGGGAAAAATTGCATTGTATAATGTTACGAGACGCTTCATACAAAAAACTAGAACAATTGCAGTTTCAGATTCTAATTTTTTACAGATTTTGTAAGAGTCCCATTGTAAAATGTAAATATAACATTTAAAGATGTAAAACTTAACTTTAAAAATGTTAATTCGAACTGCAGTTTTTTTATTTTTAAATTTGAAGCGACACTTGTAATTATGTATATTGTAATTTTTCCCTTTTTTCCCGTGTACATATCAAATTTTATCAAGTTCTGAACAGTTATTCTACTTTTAACTGTTTTTTTTTTGTTTTTCAATGTGTTTATTTTTTTTATTTTTAATGATGAGATTTCTTCGTAATTAAAAATTTTATTACATTTATCATTATACGTTAAAAAAAATTTTTTACCCCCATAAATGAATATTTAATTTGACAATAATAACTCAGAGTTAACAAAGTAGTTTAGATCTTTTAAGTTTTTAGATATTATGAATGAAGAAAAAGCTTGAAAAAAATAACTATACTGCTGCAATTTTTATTTATTTATTATTTTTTTTTTCGGTCTTGACAAATACAGTGAACTTTTTTTAGTAGGAATTTAGTAACATTTAGATTCGGCGTGTCAATACTTTCTGGTTCTTCGAGTTTGGTATTGCAATTAATTCCACTGTCAATTGAAGATGAAAGTAAAGGAGAGGCATGTGTTAAATATGGTAAAATACCTCTTGAGCCTTGGGAAATTAGTTTGGTAATTTTAGTTTTTCTTTCATTTTTATTTATATTATTTTTCTTAAAATTTTTTTTTTACTCTTAAAAATAGGTTTAGAGACTTAACAATATCGTGTTTGCTTATGAGAATGTGCATGATCAGTAATATTTTTTTCTATTGATTGTCATTGAATTGTAAAATCTTTATTATTTATGTTTATTAATTTTAGATTGAACATTGAATACTTGTAATTGTAGATAATATACGTCAAAACGTTAAGAAGAAAAATTTTACGAGCACAGAAAAAATAAATTTATACAACAATTAGCATCAACTTATAATAGTTTTAATTTAATAAAAATATCATAAATAATCAAAATTTTATTTAATTTAAAGTAAATTGAATTTTTAAAAAATGCTCTTTACGTTTTGAAAGCCAGATCTTATTTATTTGTAATATTAGTTTGAATAATAAAATCATTTGCTTTTAGTACGGATCAAGTTTATCAACCAACAACTGCAGCATAGCGATGGTAAGTTTTTTTTTTTTTTTTTATTAATAGTATATCGTGTTGTTAATATCAAAAAGTTTCTTTCAAATTTCAATTCGATATTATTGCAATTAAAATGGGAATGTGGAGTGACGATAAAAATATTACAATTTCAATTAAAGTATTGTTAAAGTATTAAATTATGATTAAACAAAAATTATAAAATAGAATAATTTATTTGTCATTAAAAGTATATTTTTACATTGAAATTTTGCGCTTTGACACGATATAATTAACCCTCGGAGTACACTGTGGGTCATTTTGATCCCCAAATTTTTTTTATCCTAAAATATTTCTCGAAAATAGGTTCGTTTTTAATTAATTTTTCCAACATTAAAAATTATTGAATTTTGAGTAATAATGATTGTATTTAAAAGAGAATTGTTTTACCTAGCAAAAATGTAATAACCTGAATCCTGATAAAGTGCATATAATTCTTCGAAAGTCAAGTTGGTTCAATTTGACCCCGTGTGTACTCCGAGGGTTAAATAAGAAATTTTAAGAAAAATCAAAAAAATCTTTTTTAGAATAATCTAACGAATTGTTATCGTTAAAAGGTTCACGATTCAAATGGAAACTTGACAGAAGACATAGAGTGTATTTTCATTCTTCCAGTTTTGTATAATCAGAGTTATTGTTTTTTATTAACTCTAAATGATGACCGGTGTGTAAAACAAACTGTGTGGAAACCACCACCAGTTCAAGACGAAATAAGTTTACCGTGTACATGGATAGCACGTAAGATTTTGATTTGTAAATACTTTAATACTAATTTATTTCAAATTAATAATAGTTGTGATAAATTGATACTTGAATTTTTTCAACCAGAAAAAAATATTTCCTATCAATAACATTTCTCTGTTAATTTATTAACAGTTGACTTATAAATTATAAGGAGAACTAAATTCTTTTTTTTAAATGAAGAATAAATAAATCGAAAAATTTGTTGTTGAAAATTATTGTGAATATAATTTTCAATAAATTTTTTATTGTTACTAAAGTTTAATCATTCTTATTTTTTCAAATAACAATTTTTTGGTTTCTTGAATAAAACATTTCTTTAAAAAATTTATTCTAAGAAATTTTATTAAAATAAAATTTCTGAGAAGTTAAAACTGGGAACTCTAAACAATAAATAAATAAAATATAAACTTATTTTACAGCATGTATGAGAGTAACTAAATCACGACAAGCTATTGAATATAATGGAGAGCTCTCAGGAAATAAAACTGTTATGAGTGATATTAATTTATTATTACCAATAGCCGCAGGAATAATTATTTTAATATTAGTTATAAGCGGTACAGTTGTATGCATTTGTCGTCAACGTTTACGTAGCAGTCGACAAAATCAATATTTAAATGCAACTTTAAGTGATCTCAAAAGTACGAATTGTGAAATTGATTCTGTTGATACTGACGATGCCAATGAAAAATTAAAAAAACAAGAAAATGATTGTAAAGCGATTGTTATTTTCTATGCACGAGAATCAGAAATTTTCATTAAATTTATGGTTTATCTTAGAGAAATTATTGAATATTTCTGCAACTGCCATGTAAGTTATAATTTATTATTTCGTTAACTATTTGTTCTCAGCGTATTTTGTTTTTTAGTTATAATACTTTTTCCTTGTAGGTTTATGATTGGTATGCTCCCAATGAATGGAATTCAGTTGCTAAAGTCGGTGCTTTTGATTGGGCTAATAATTTATTTAAAAATAATTATCGTGTCATTTGGATTGATACTCCAGCTACCAGATCGTTAATTAATATTAAAAACTCAGTTAACAATTTTCATGATGACCGATTGAACATTGATTCAATAAGTGATTTTCGTGACTTAGCTTTTGCTCCAATTCTTGATTGCGTTAAACGAAATATTGAGTTGCAATATACGAAACATTTTATAGTACGGTGAGTCCATTAATTAAATAAATCGCGTTACTAAAACCAAAAAGGTGTATCAAAATTTTTTTTCCTTCAATCAACTAGGGAATGTATAAAAGTAAAAATCTGGTTGAAAAACTTTTAACTTTAAGAAAAAAAATTTTCAAAGCCAAAAGAGCGTACATGAAAAAATAGTCAAAGCAACGTCTAAGAACATCCCAACGTCGAGATTGAATGAAAAAATGATTTTTTAAAATTAAACTGAAAATACTATCACAGCCGAATTTTTGGAATTGTCAATTTATGTTCGAAGTTGAAAATTTTATTTTAATTTTTTTTCAGTGAATATTCGCAAAATACAAAAAATTGAAAATTTAAAGAAATTAGGATGTGTTAGTGTTTTCAGTCTCACTTTCGAAAATCAATTTTTCGTTAGATTTCGACGTTTTAAGGTCTTTAGAAGCTAATTTTACTATTTTTTCATGTACGCCTTTTCGGCTTTAATAACAGTCGATTCCCTCTTTTTCTCACGTCGCACTCACTGCAAGAAACGGTACTATCCTTGTTGCACTCATGATTATAAAGCTATTGCAGTTTTATATTTTTCTTTTAAACAAATGAGAATTTTGAAAAAAAAAACGCTCTGCTACGAAATAGATAATTGAAAAATCTATTACGTAGCAGAGCATTTTTTTCAAAATTCTTCTTTGTCCAGGACCGGCTGTTAAAATTTTTTTTTTCTTAAAGTCAAAAGGACTTATGCCGGAAAAAATTTTTTGCGTTTTTCAACTAGATTTTTACTTTTATACATTCCCTAGTTGATGGGAGAAAAAAAAATTTTTTATACGCACTTTTGGTTTTAGTAACGCGAAATATTTTTTATTTTAGTAAATAAATTTTTAATAATTTTTTTTTTTACAGATTAGAAGGATACTGTTACGAAAATTCTCAAGAAGATCCTTTTGTAGATTTATCACCGCATGCCCGTTTTATTATTCCCCACCATCTTAAACAGTTAATTTCGCATTTGTAAGTGAGCCAATGAGTAATTTATTTTAATTATTATCATAGCTTAATTTTTACCAAACAGTAAAAATGTAACGTTTTATTTCAGAGCTTTTAAAAGATCTGAAATGAGTGAAGAAGAATTAAATCGAGAAGAAATTCTACTTCGAGAACGCTTAGCCAAAATGAATAGTGACTCGTGATTATTAAATCGATTCCGTAATTTCTTATTTTCATCGAAGTTTTTTTATAATTTTTTTTTATAAATAGGTGAATAAATCAAACAACTAATTTTCTATTTGTAATATATAATTGATTAATTTTATGATAATATTGTGCCCAAATCATTTTATTATTATAAACACCCCAATATAATCAGGAGATGCCAAAATGACGTTAAAATACTCAGCAGGATGATATCAATTGGGATACATAGATTGAAGAAACAACAGTTGTTAATGAACTGAATGTAGATTGATATTCTGGTTGAACCTTAAGATAATTATATCTTTGCATAGAAATTTTTATTTCCGCCCCGATCGTCATGCTAATTGAAAGTTGCCGTTGATCTACGTCCGGATTCGGCAACCAACTTATGTTAACTTGCATTCCGATTCCAGCCGTAGATTTTTATCAAATTGTTTGTAACTTTAATCCAAAAAGACTTTCCGTAAACTTTAGGATAACATTACTAAAATATACTGAACTATACATGTTCTTGCACAGAAATTGAGGTTCTCAGGAATAATTAATGTAACTGATAATTATTGTGAAATATTGTTCAAGTAATTTCTAGCGTATCAATTGTTGGAAAATTCTTTTACATCGGATACCCAGTTCGCACAAATGGCATCAAATGGACGTAAACCTACCATCAACTTGAGTACAATTTTATAAGCAACTTTTTGTTTTATTCCAGCAGTAACTTAACTCCAAGTTTCTGAGTAAATTGAACTTAAATTAGCTGCAAAAAAGCACACCTCCGTCAAACTATAAAAATAGCTGATAATTAAAGTCAGATTCATAAAAAAATTTTAATTTTCTAGTTCAAGCAGTTGATATAATCATTTGCATTCTACTTTAATACATAGCAACAATCGAAATGTTGATATGTATCTACTGTCGTAATCAACATTTGAGATAATTGCAATCAATTTGATTTAAATAAACTGAAGATTATCTATAAGTTTATTTAAAAATTTTTCATTTATCTTGCCATTAAATTTTTCTTATAGATTCACACCAACTTATCGCTAACTTGAAATTAAATAAGATGAAAATTTTCAGTGTGTCGATAACTTATTGAGACTTCGAATTTCTGACATTTACTAAAAATTCGATTACATAAAATAGAATTCAGGGTAACAACTCTCATTTATCTTAAAAATGTACAATTTAGGTGAAATTATGCATTAGAAGAAAATAAATTATTAAAGCAGGACATTGCTGAAACTTCCTTCTTTTTTCGAGCTCAAAACGCTCGAAAATCTTTCTATTGGTTGATTTTTGGAATAAAAAAATTCAGAAATTCCATCAAAAAAACGATTATTTAGAAATTTTTTAATGGCTATATCTTTTGAACGCGTCGTTCGATTTTGAATTTCTTGGTAGAATTCGATGCAGTTTTTTAAGTACAAAAAGTGTCTCTGATGTCTGTAGTCGATTTCTTGGGTTTTAACTTTTTGAATATATTTAATTAAACGAATCGACCGATCGACTTCAAAATTTATTCAAATCAAAGTTTCAATGAACACTTTCAAATGCCCTTTCGTTTATTTCCATCGTTTGATTCGCTTTAATTAAAGATATCATACGAAAAAATTTTACGTCCAGTCGTAAATAGTCGGAACGGCTTCCTAAAACCTCAAAACATGGAGGTATGATAAAAACTCGCATACTCAAAATCAAATCGAAATTAATGACTTTCTACTTGTGAAAATTATCCATTTTCAAAGCGAGAAGTTGGAACTGAAAATTTTTGCAAATAAGTTTTTAGACGTTAAAAAAATGTATTAAAAACTGAGAAATTTCATACTTTAAATCATCTAATTTAGTCAGCTTTATGAATAATAACACCGGCATAAGTATAATTATTTTGATTCTTGAAAATCAAATTTTTTTTATAAAATTAAAGTTTAATTATAAATAATATAAAAAAACCGCTAATTATAATCTTTTAAAATAAAGAATTTAATTTTTATTCATTTTAATTTTTTTCAAAAGGTCGCCTTGAGTTAATATGTCAGAAGACTTATTCATTTGATGATTAACGGCTGTCAATTCATCCGTTGAATTTCGTTTTCCCAACTTTGAATCAGGCGATTTGTCAGTTTGCTTTTCAGATGACGTTGATTCTCTTTCCGATGAACCACCAAATTTTCTCACTGTAAAAAAGTACAATAAATGAAAAGTAAATTTTAATTTCAATCAAAACGCTAAAATAAATATTATTATAATGAATGTCTAAAAGTAACTCTACCTATGTAATCACAAATAGAACCATTGGTACCGAAGAAATTAATAAATTTGAGCTGTTTATTTTTTATCGACATATCATTATTAGATAGTTTACGTTTCCATGATAAATCATCATCACTTTTATTTTTTTCAACGCTATCAACTGTAAATAAAAGATAAGTAAGCAATCGTTATTTATTGACAAATAATTGAATAGCTATTACGTTTGAAGTATTGCCGGAAAGTTAAATTTTTTGGTAATTTCACACTATTATTTTTTCGCTCAATTTTTTGGACTATTGAGTACACTCCATATTTATGGTGAAAAATTTTATCAACTTCACCAAAGTGCTTCATCCGATATTGCTGGCCACTAAAAAGTAATTCTTTCTGCATACTTTCTAACCATGTTTGTTGAGGACCTATTACTGAACCAGGCCGACAAATTCGTGTCCACGCTATAGCTTCTTTGGCTGTCATTTTGTAATGTTTTATCAAATAAGCACAAATTAATGACCCGGTTCGTCCTAATCCTGCCTGAAATTAATAGTGTTTTTGATGATAATGCAGAAAAATCAACAATAATAATGATAATAATTCTTACATTACAGATATCTTAGGGTAAAGGCTCCAAATATTGACCAGTTTAGATAAAATAAACATAATATATATTATATAATTATATTGTTATGCTTTTTTTATATTTTTAACTTACAAATTATAATATTTTTGTTTATAAAATATATAATATTATACATTAAATTGTATAAATAATAAACGTTACAATCGATTATTTTGAAAATTGACCATTATGCACTTAATAAATATTAACCGCCTATCTTTCAAATACTGATCAATAGCATTATGCTTACTAGATTGATAAATAACTTTTATTTTTTATTTATAATAGTTTCGACATTAGGTAATCTATTCACTGCGTGTTCATAATTCAGTATTGTTATTAGTTTTTTTTGTATTCTGTTTCAATATTATCTTCAGTACTCATATTTAAATCAATGACTGAAGTCATACTAATATTAGGTACATTGGGATAATTTACAACACCAATTGTTGACCAGGGTATTATTTCAATTATTAACGTGGTTTTTCTAACAAAAATTATTGATAATTAATCTTCGATGTTCAATTGTTTGGACAAATACTTATTTGAGCTCGAGTTTTAATGACAAAATTTTCACAACTTTCTGACATTTGTACACAAACTTATTTTTTTTTATTAAAACAACTACATATATTTATAAGCATGCGCAAATTTCTATTTAAAGTATAATGAAAAATTGATAATTATGTACTGATTATAAAATTAAATTACAAAATTTTTTTAAATCAAGTTGTTATGCTGCCTGGTTAATATTTAGTTCCTTTACCCTACTTAATTCTCAGAAAAGGACAATACGGTAAAATAGAGGGAATCAAAAAGAAGTAATTATGCAGTAGAGAGTACTTATTTTTAGCTATAAATAATCAAAGAATTAACTTATCAAGTTTTTCATTTTATTCTTCGCAGTGGATTCGTGCATGAAATTTTTAAAAAGGTGAAGAATAAGTTTATCCAATTGAAAATTTTTAAAATGCAATTTGTCTAGTTTTTTATTGAAAATTTTTGAGAATATCTGATGAATTATTTTTTTCTTAAAGAGCACAAAAATCTGAACTAATTAGCAAATAAGCGGTATATGAGATCATGATAATGAAATTAGCAGACATTTGGTCATTTTTGATTTTTTTTAACAAATAAATTAAAACTCAAAAAATTTTTTTGTAAAATAGCACTGATAATTTCTCAAAATGTTTTTCAAATTTTTCCATACAGTAATTCGTCTGATAAATTATTCTTATAGCTAGATGTCTTGATATGATATCAATGTGATACAATTGATAGATTTTTTAATTTTTATCAATAATTTGAAAGTGATGCACTAATTTTTCAATTTTAAATATTAATCTTTGTGAGGCAAAATTCATAAAAAAAATATTAAGATCCTGGTACACTGTGACACTATGAAAAAAAAAAAAAAAAAACAGTACTTTGAAAGTTCAAATAAAAAACTGAACAAATCTTGAAAAAATTAGCGACCCATTTCTGCATAATTATCAAATTTTATTAAGTCTATTACGTTCACATTAGTTCGAATATAAATTTTTTAAAATATATAAATAATTAAATTATTTTCTTACCTTGCAATGAACTGCAATCGGTCCATTTGTTACCTCACTGATGTACAAAAATCGATAGAGAACTTTACGTGATGGCACACTTCCGTCCGGTAAATAAATATCATAATGATTGATACCAATCTTAGTAAACCTATTTCATAATTTACATTTATAATATATTATAAATTTTTAAAATATAAACAACTTAAAAAAATTTTAAACCTTGACGAGTCATAAGATTCTTTATTTAGTCTTATGACTGTACTTATATTATTTTCTTTAAAATATTCATGGTAACGTTCAGGTGCATGATATAGAGTTCCTGGCTCAGTACTTGGCCCCGAAAACGCTAAGAATTTTTCTGGTACTATCCAATTCATATCGCCGTATTTGACTTTTTCATATTTTTCATATTCACTTACATCAAAATCATTCAAATTTAAGAATCCGAAAGCTACAGCCTTCAACAGCGCATTCAAACAATCTACAATATTTAAACTCATCAGAAAAGAGAAAAAAAATGAGCAATGTTGTGATGAAAAATTAGTTTGTTGAAAATTTTCAAAAATCTTATTTCTTAGTTAAAAAAAATCAATATTTTTTTCACAATAACTTTAATGTTAAAAAAAAGTTTCGTAGATTTTAGAAAAAAAAATTTTGGATGAAAATTCGCAAATTTTTTATTACAAATTTTTTTTTCTAAATCAAAAAAAAATTTTTTTCGGCATTAAAGTTACTGTGAGAAAAATTTTTATTTCTTCAGCTAAAAAATAAATTGTTGAAAATTTTCAACAAATTAATTTCTTATTAAAACATTGCCAATTTTTTTCAAAATAATTTTTTTTTCTCAGTTCATGAATAATTATAATTATAATTATTAATTATTAATCACCTACCTTGTAATCGTATATGATAAATAGAGTGTCCTATCGACACATCTTGAAAAGGTTTAAGTGATATATTAGCGTCCAGTAATGGTTTATACGCATCTTTAGGAGATTTATTTAGACATAAAACAGCAAAAGAAGCAATCAAAAATGCAGCGTTAGCTTTTTTTTCATTACTTTTTATACAGTAGTGAACTATTTGTTTGTCGCAATAACGCGGATTGTTCAGTTTTTTACTAACCATCCAACAATATCTAAAAATATATTAATATATTATTTTATTCTCTTCAATATTAAAAAAAAAATTAAATTTATTCAAAGTATTAAATTAAAATAAAATATTAATTTCTATAAATTTTTTAATTTATTTAAGTAATAATATTAATAATGGTTTACAATGAAATATTTTACTTGTATAAGCAGCTGAGATTTAATGGTCCAAAATCGTTGAAAAAATTTTGATAAATTAATTCATCGTCAATACTGAAAAAATGCACGTCAGCTATACTCTTTGGTAGATTTTTACCTTCTGTCAAAATTGCAAAGTAAAATTTATTATTTATATATTCAGCAACATGATTAATATCTGGGTGACTTTTGATGGTATTTAATTCAAAGTTATCAGTCAATTTTTCAGGGGGAATTAATTTTGATATTTTGGTTGAGTTATCGGGTAAAGTTAAATTTTTATGGTAAGCCATTTTAAAATCTTGATCTTTTTTCTGACATTAAAATTTTTAAGCCATTGTTTACTATTTAAATTAGTATAATTAAATTTTAATTGCTGGATTTAATTTAATGTGATTGAACGGAAAATTTTGTTAATTTTAACAATTTTCAGCATTGACAAATCATGCCATTTTTACTAACTGAATAAATTACTTACTTCTGACTGTAGACTGTTCTTCTTCTTTTTTTTTATTATTATTATTATAAAAAAACACTAATTCAGTTTTTTATAATTCTATATTTGTTATAACTATACCCAAGATTAAATTTATTGTAATTTATCTACAAATAACTTATTGAGAAAATTATTATAATTTCGGTTAATAAATAAATAAGATAAAGTTTTAAAAGGTTTACATTGCTTTTATTTACTTATATATACTGAAAAGTCAAACAAAGATGCAATACAATCATTTATGCACAAATTACAATATTTATTTTGTAGCACTAAATATGAAATTTAATTTTTTTTATCTATTACGTAAAAGAGACACCCAAGTCTCGGTTTCATACAATAATGTATGTATTGATGTACATAATTTTTATTTTAAATGGAATACGCTTAAATAATTGATTAACGGTCACGATATTTATTTGATAAATTAAATAAACCATGATTGTATTTAATTATTTGAAGATTTAATGAACTTTATTGATGTAAGTATGCACAAGAAAAATATTCTCAGGCAAAAATAACTATTTACTGACCGTAAGATCCACTTGCTTATAATAATAAATAGATATAATTATTAAATATATTTTTTATAAGTTGTATATTATTTATATAAAAAAGAATAAATAATAATAATAATAATAATAAAATTAATTAATAGATTGAAAAAAAAAAAAAAAAAAATAAAGAAATTACTTGAATTGAGAAATAAAAAATAGAGATAGTAAGAGATAAAGACAAATTAGCAAATACTTTTACGGTTTTCTTCTCTATTCCTTAGATCTAGCTGAAGTTTACATTTTATACGATCTTTTATCAAGCCGTTACATTATTTGGTATAATTGCATTCAATTATTCTTATTTCCCATAAAGGAAAATTAACAATTTAAATAACACCATACTATTATTATTTAATTTATAATTATGACATACGTTAATATATATGTATATTTACATTCAAAAATCTACCTAGACTGTAAAATATAAATTAAATTATCGATTACAGATTTCTTAACCATATATTGCTCCACATATTTTTAAATCCTCATTTTACACAATTTTTAGTTGTCAAATTTTTAAATCAACTAGTATAATATTAATAATTATATTCTATTATAATTAGTGGAGATACTTTTTCATTCACACTTGATGTCTCACTATTTTTATGTCTCTTTATACAAATCTTAATTATAATTGAATAATTAACCACTAAACTGTCTATTACATTCGTGTTATTATTTCCTGCAGTCAGTACGCGATAATAATTGTAAACATTAAGTTAAAAAAAAATATATATGGCTAAATAGTTTTTGTTATTTAATTTAAATAGTTTAATTTTATCTTTGGGAATTCTAGATCCACCTTTCAGACACTTATTATCATTATAATAATTAACTGTATGACGTTAATAAATCGTAGAAATAAATCGACAATCACTTAACGTCATTACCTGATAAATAATATTAATACCCTAAATAATAGTTATTAAATCACAAATACAATTTTATTTACTAATTCTAAAAGTCAAGTCGTTCTTTTCGAATTAGTAAAAATTGTTTACAGATATTTTTTTCTCCTATATATTTTTATCTTTCAATCAAAAACAATTTTTCTGACTTTAGTTTTTAAATTTACTAATTTTCAGTATTTATTACTAAATATTGTACATAAAAAATTTTGCATTTAAACAAAGTAAAATTAATTATAATTATCCGAATAGTTCATTTAATTTTTATGGCTACTTATTTTATATACACAAAAAATATTTAGATTAAATTTACAATCGCTTTTAAAATATTCATAATTAAACGAAATGCTAGACACAACCAATCAAGAAAACAATTAATCAACCCGTAAAGTGCACCAACTCCCTTAATTATAGTAATATAATTACAATACAAAATCGCTAATCTTGCAATTAAAAAAAAAAATATTTATAAATATAAAACAAAAAAATTTTTCACATCAGTTTCTCAAAAAAATTAAGCTATCAATAAAATAGTTAATTATCTTTTTTCTATGTAAAAATCTTATGAAACCTAATTTATCTATAATTATATACCTACGAACATAATTATCCGAATAGTTCATTTAATTTTTATGGCTACTTATTTTATATACACAAAAAATATTTAGATTAAATTTACAATCGCTTTTAAAATATTCATAATTAAACGAAATGCTAGACACAACCAATCAAGAAAACAATTAATCAACCCGTAAAGTGCACCAACTCCCTTAATTATAGTAATATAATTACAATACAAAATCGCTAATCTTGCAATTAAAAAAAAAAAAATATTTATAAATATAAAACAAAAAAATTTTTCACATCAGTTTCTCAAAAAAATTAAGCTATCAATAAAATAGTTAATTATCTTTTTTCTATGTAAAAATCTTATGAAACCTAATTTATCTATAATTATATACCTACGAACATTAATATTTATGAATTTTAAATGCCAAATTCTCAAGTAGATAAAAAAACATTTTTTTATCGTAACATTGAGATTCTTTAAATATTATTCATAAGGCACAATTGTGAACGCAATGGGAAACCTGAATTCAACCCAATTAAATCTAATAAATAATATGATTATAATTATAATAATAATTATTATTTTGTACAAAATGATAACTCATTAAATATATAAACTAGCAATTAATAATCGTAATATTAAGTTCAATCGTGGCTTCTATTAACCCCAAGTAATTTAGCAGCATCATCAGCAGATGCTTGAAGAACTTTATCAATTATACTTTTGTCTCTAATTCCAAGTAAATTAGATATCAAGTCATTTTCTGTATCCGGAGTTGATTCGCAATTATTAATATTATTGTGTTGACTATTTGTTAATTTACCAGTCAATGTTGTCAATGACTCATAAGGATTAAATCTACTCATAAGTCTGCTTGGTGCAGCATCACCGGTAGCCACTGACCCGACACTTGGCAATGACATTCTGTCTTGTAGACGTGTCGTGTCACCGATAACTGGCGATGCCATCATCAACTGTTGCTGTTGATGACTACGTGGTGTTATTGTTGGTGGTTGAATTGGATTCGTCTCTTCGTCGCCACTTGTTCCAACATAGATTATTGAATCAGTAGACTCGTGTTTTTTACGGTGACGTAGCATACTGTGTTTGAGAGTGAATCTACGACAGCATATGTCGCACGAGTACGGTCGTTCTCCCGTATGAGTTCTCATGTGACGTCTTAGATCCTCTGCTGACCAAAATCGACGCATACAAAATACGCACATCACCTGCAATAAATTAAAGATGATTAGTTATTCGATCAATCAATTATTCTATCAATATTTATAATTTATTTAAAGAAATGTGATTCAAAGAGATACTTTTTGTATTTTTATCTATTCATTTTTTAATTAAAATAAAAAAATTTAATTTTTTAATTTTCTTAAAAATCAATAATTATAAAAAAAAAAATTTTCACTAATTAATTTAAAAAAAAATTAATAAGTCTGCAGATTTCAGTATCATAAAAAATATCTTTTAGTAAAATAAATAATTGTAAAAATAATCTTATTGAAAATAACATGATTAAGATTGGAGAAGACATAAAACAA